TCTAATGTGAACTACAATTTTTTAAACTGGGGAATTACAAAAATCGAGATGAAACAAATGAAAGAATACAGAATATGTCTGACGGGCCCCTGAAATTACTAATATATGTGTTCTCTTGCAGAAACCAAGTTCAGAATACATGGCTAGGAGGCTTTTTTTTTTTTTTAATTACCTAATTTGAACAAATGATCACAAGGCATATAAAGAAATAGAAAAATGTGTTTCAATCAGAGGAACAAAATAAATCTCCAAAACTGGCCCTAAATTAATAAAGAATTATTAGTTGCCTGACACAGAAATCAAATAACCATCACAAAGATGCTAATGGAGAAAGAAGAGAAAATGGATAGTGTAACTAATTGTTATCAGGAAAACTATGCATGAACAAAACAAAAAGCAAAGGAGACAGAAAATATAACAACAATCTACCACAAATTGGGAGCTGAAAAGTACAATCACTGAATTTGAAAACACAACAAGGGGTCAGTCACAGACTTGATCAAGCAGAAAAAGAATGAGACAATTTAAGGATGCTTTGTTTTAAATTATCTACTGAGAGGACAAAAGAAGATGTGGAAAAGGACGGAGTCTAAGTGACTCAGGGAACATCAACAAATGGACCAATATGTACACTAAGGGGACCCCAAAGGGAGAGGAGAGTGAAAGGAGCCAGAGTTTTTACATGAAGAACTAAAGACTTGGGGCGCCTGGGTGGCTCAGTGGGTTAAAGCCTCTGCTTTCAGCTCAGGTCATGATCCCAGGGTCCTGGGTTTGAGCCCCACATAGGACTCTCTGCTCCGTGGGGAGCCTGCTTCCTCCCCTCTCTCTGCCTGCCTCTCTGCCTACTTGTGATCTCTGTCTGTTAAATAAATAAGTAAAATCTTAGGGGAAAAAAAAAAAGCTGATAAATGTTAAGTGTTTCCCTGAGTTCTGTGAGCTGTTCTGGAAAATCATCAAATCCAAGGACAGGATCATGGGAACCTCCAATGTGTAGGCAAGTCTGACAAGTTGTGGGTAACGTGGGGACCTATTACTTGAGACAGGCACCTGAAGTGGGGGCGGTTTCGAGGGACAGAGCCCTTCACCTGCGGGGTCAGCACTGCTTCTGGTTAGCACTACAACTGAAATGAACTGTAAGACATGTAGCTGGCACTGCGGAGAACTGCGTGGCATGGGAAAAACCTCACACATGGTATCAAAAGTGTGGAGTGTGGTAGTGATGGGAGAGTCAAGGAGACACACGGAAGAGCGAGTTTTCTCTACACAGCCAACAACTGTGTCCTGATGAAACAGAAAAGGGGGAACCTGGGTGGTTAAGCCAGTCAGTAAAGCATCTGCCTTTGGTTCAGGTCATGATCTCAGGATTCTGGGATCGAGCCCCACATCAGGCTCTCAGCTCAGTGGGGAGTCTGCCTCTCCCTCTCCATCTGCCTCTCCTCCAGCTCATTCTCTCTCCCTCTCTCAAGTAAATGAAAATCTAAAAAAACAAAAGAAACAGAAAAGGAGTAGACACGGAGACACGGGGAATGGAAGGCCACGTGAAGATGGAGGGAGAGATCGAGGGAATGTATCCACAAGCTATGGAGCGTCAGGAATTGCCATCAGCCACCACAAGCCAGCAGATATGAAAGGAATCTTCAGAGTCTCCAGAAGGAAGCAAAATTGCTGACACCTTACTCCAAATTTCTGGCCTCCAGAACTGTGAGAATAATTTTTGTTGCATTAAGCCACCAAATGAGTAGTGCTTTGTTGTGGCACCGAGGACTCTAACACGCTTGGCTAACACAGGACAGGTCTCACGTGGAACACTTAGGTGTTACGACCTCTCTCAATCCTCTCACTCCTAGGGAGGTTGGTATCCAACACCCCCTTTCAAGACTGTGAACACAGGGACCTGAGAGAGGCAGACACGTGCCGAAGTCAGCGCCGAGAGAGAGCTGGGACCCCTGATGGCACAGCCCACCGGGAATGGAAATCCTTGTTTCTCCAGCACAATAGTGTGGCCTCTCCTCCTGGCTCACAGGGCTGTGGCAGAAAGAGGTGAGGTCATGCGTGTGGGGGTGGAGGGAAACACCCTGGAGAGTGAGTAAGCCCCGCGCGGCAGGCTGACTGCTCAGCAGAGAGCCTGCTTCCCCTCCTCTCTCTCTGCCTGCCTTTCTGCCTACTTGTGATCTCTGTCTGTCAAATAAATAAATAAAATCTTAAAAAAAAAAAAGAGCTAAAAACTTGTACTTCCCACATGTGTGGAGAAAGGGGACAAATGCAACAGGGCTGGTAAATTTAAAGTAGGGTACATGTTAAGACATGAATACAGTGCCACATTATAATTAACCTATGAAAAATCCCAAGTGAAAACAGAATTTTGGAACAGCATGACAAAGGCAATTCAACTCATCTTGTACAAGAGAGCACCTGTAAGATTAGTAGAGGGATTCACAGCAGACATTATAGGAAAAAGTGCAGGGAACAATATATTCAAGCACTGAAAGATCAAAATATAACCACCAAGAATGTGCTATCTGGGAAAACTGATTTCCATGAATGTGGAAATGAAGACTTTCCTAAGTAACAACTGCTCTAAGTTTACCAGTAGATCTGTCCTACAAGAACCATTAAAGGAAGTCTTTCTAGGTGAAATAAAAGGATTCTAAGCAGAAACTGAAATCACACGAGAACACAAGCTCTCCGTAAATATAAATATTCACACACTCATAGGAATCTACAGTGTTAATGAGGTAGCACAAGTCACTTTTATTTCTGCTAGAGAATTAAAAAAAAATAAAAGCGTAAATATCATAAGTCTAGGTAAATGAGTATATGACATAAAAGACAGAATTTGTGATACTGGTAACAGAAAGTGGGTTCAGGGTTAGAAATAAGTAGAAGAGTTTTCTATGAAATTGACGATATCAGTTTAAAATTATTTAATTGTTAAAATAAATAAATAAGTAAATAAAATTATTTAATTGTTATGCCTTTAACAAATTTTGAGCAAGGTAACCACAAAAAAATTTTACTCCAAGGCAGCCCCGAAGAAAATATGTATAGAAGACACAAAAGTTAATGGGAATGGAATCAAAGCACATTATGGGTAGAACGCCGCAATTAAAGATAAAATTGAACACGTAAACATGATAGAAGTAGAAATTGTTTAAACACTGCTTTCCATTCACAGAAAGTGTTTCTGTCATGCAAAGAGACTACACGTTCTGCAAGAGGTGACGAGGTTAATCGTATTCCTGTGACAACTCATCTGCACACGAGGTATACTCACCGAACACTAACCAGTCAAGGAAATGCACAAGATGAGTCACAACCAAAGCATGTATGGGTGGAAATTGTACAGATACATATGTAATTTTATTAGTAAAGAGCATAAACCTGATTCATATTTAAGTGAAATTCACACTGTCTAGAACTGTATGAAGTTGACAACTCTCATCCTATCACAAGACACACAGGTAGAAATGATATCACAACTAAATAATGTTATGGAAGGTCCCATACAAAAAGAAGCACATTATTATGGAACTCTAGAACCAGAAGAAGGCAACATTTAACCAAAAAGAAATCAACATAAAAACAGGCAAATTTTTAAAAGGAAATCTTCTTTATAACTCTAATTTCAAACTGTGACTGTGTAATGATGAAAAACAAGCATTTTGAATTACTGGCATGCCTTCACGGGCGGTAAGCTTGGAAAGAATATTCATTAATACCATCATGAAAAGCTCTAATGGAAAATTTTATGACTAAGTATTTAAAAGACATTAAAAAATGTATTATGTTATTAGTATATTCCTCCTCTTACACAGAATGCAAGGCTCTAAACCATTCTTCAGAACCAAGCACTGAAACAAAAACCGTTCATTTTGAAATAAAAACAACATGAAAAACAACAACAACAACAACATGAAATTTGTAAAATGTGCCAGCAAACACTTTATAAGAAATAAATATTTGGGATTAAATTCAGATATATTCTGAGGAAAGTAGAAGAGAATACTAATGGCTAATTTTTCCTGTAAATGTAAAATTGAATTTATAAACAAGATTTTTTTAAAAATATGGGAATTTTACCAATTATCCACCACACTTGTAAGCAAATGTCCATGTCATATCACAAATTTTCATGTAAAAAATTCAGAGATGAATCTGATATATAACTAATAAAGTGAAAACACACTTGATAAAGTCAAAGAACTTCATATCATACAAAATTATAAAAATGATGTGGTTATGAATAAATAAGGTTTATTATAGCCTGCAAGTTCTGAGTTCTAAATGTTCTAGCTCCCATATGGCATTAATTACCAAGAAATTCTAGGATTCAAGTTGATATATTAAATTATTTCACCACTGAGAAATGGAACACAGAGTGGAAATTTCTAATTTTAGCTGATAAAAAGAAAAATGGACTTTTATAGTAAAAGAAAGGAGTATACCCTTCATTGCAGGAAGGTGTTTTGTTACCTGATGAATTTAGTGAGTCTCCATTATGTACAATTAAGATTAAAGCCTCCATAACATTGGAAAGCATAAACCAGAAAACATTTGATATTTGTCTCCACGGTTCTGGGATTTCTACACCAAACCCCAATATGCCAGCCACTACCCTGACACACTTCTCACACGAGGCAAAGCAGAACTTATAAAGGGCTTAGCACAGGGTTCCTCAGAAATAGGATGACCTCCCCAGGGCCCTCACGGCAATGGAGAAGCTCTCAGATTATGGAAGCCCTCCCACTCTAAGGGGAGTCTCCTGGCCTTCCCTGTGGACATGATGAACCATCACTGGAGCTAAAGGAGAATCCTTAGAGAATGTAAGAGCTTGATAATGGTGAACAGATGTTCCTCTGTGAGAGGGAGAGAAATAACACTAGGCTTCTCAAACTAATTTCCGTTCAGGAAAACTATTAGAACCATAGCACAAGGTCTACCTTCCTCCTGTTCAGACCTGAACCTCCGCTCTGTCATCTCCCTCATTCATTCCCACATACCTGGATGGAAGGCTACTGACTCCTTTCTCTTCACATCCCAGAGCTGCTTCTCTTGCTCCAAAAAGATGACCAGGTCTGGCTTCCACACAACGAGACCTGTTTATTAGAAAAAATGACTAGGAGTATTACTGGAGATTCTAACTTTCATTCCACTATTGTGCTCAGTGGGGAAGAGAGAACATTCAAGAATTCTAGAAAAGGATTTCTCAAACACTGTTGACCAACAGCCCCTTTAGAACACGTGGTAGTTCCAAATAGTCACATCATGACCCCCACTTCCAAGTACAAAATACAATTATAAGGAATAAAAATTGGAGTTGATGATGTGGGCAGTACTATTTTATGCTTTCAATGTTCAGTATTAACACTAATCTACAGAAGTGATGATGTTCCCTTAAGGAAGGGGACGCTAAGGCTGAAAAGGAATCATCATGAAGATTTTTCTCTCCATCTACAAACCCCCACTTATTTTCCTTTCTGCCTGGATCTGAATTCCAATCATTCAAAGAGGAATCCTCTAAGAGACAATCTTCAAAGGAGGGAAAAAACCCTTTGGTTTGGGAAATCTTCTCACCCAGGAAGAGGAGGTGTCCATAGTTCTCCAACATCACATCCCTGTACAGTTCCCGCTGAGTGTGGGTCAGGCGTCCCCACTCCTCCTGAGAGAATTCTATGGCCACATCCCTGAATGTCAGCAGTCCCTGTAAGAAATACCACAGTCACCAAGGGGCCATTGACAGAGTTCACAATGGTCCCTAAGTTGAAAGAGGGAGTTAATGTCACCAGCTGGACCCCAAGACCTGACTTTCAGGGCCCACCTGCTTGTACCCACCAATTTTATCCTACATTTTACTTAACCTTCTCTTCCCACCTTATCTTTTACTTCAGTCGAAAGACCCCATGGGCAGAGTCTCCTGTGTTGGAAACAGAAACTATCCAACAAAAAGTTTTGACTGCCCTGAGGAAGCACTTGGGCCTCCCTAGTTTGAGTTTAACCCCTGACTCATACCTGTGTAGGTGGAGCAAGGAGTAACCCATGGAGTGGCCAACAGTTACTTCACCTCATTAGAGTATGAAATCTCCACTGAAGGAGAAGCACAGACATCGTTTCATAACATACAAAGTATGTATACAAGTGTTGTCGTCACGAGCATGTGTGACCATATGCGCAACTCTATGTAAGATGATACAGCCCCTCTTGCTGAGTTTCCATCTGAACCCCAAGCAAAAGGAAAACGTCCCCCTGGCTCTGGGAGTCTCTGAAGTCATTCCCTGTGATCTCCTTATTGGCGGCAAATCAAGTTTCCTTTGTGTCACAAGCCCATCTGCTGTAGTTTCTACCTGTGACTCTATTATACTTCAGGGTTTTAAGACACTCAGACATGTCAATTAAGTGATTCTTGTTTTGTTTTGCTTGAAAATACAAAGAAGTAAATAGAGGGTCACTCTGTGAACTATGTGTGGAGTAAAATAAAACCTACAAGATGGAGGTCTGACTTAGAACCTCCCGTCCCAGAAATCATTATCTCTGCTACACGAAGGTGAGAGCCTTTGTTGTCCAGTGGAAACGGACCTGAAGGGGCCTGCGAGCTAAAGGTAAAAAAAAAGTATTCTTGAGACATTTTTGGTGCAAGAAACTGTTTTTATTAAAGCACAGGGACAGGACCCCTGGGCAGAAAGACCTACACTGTCCTTGTGAGAAGCCATTAGTAATATAGTTTTACGTTGGGGGTAGGAATAAAGGAAGTTTCTGCAGGGATTTTCATATGTTAAAGAGGACTTACAGGATCCCGGAGGTCTGGCTATCGCCAAGCTGGTAGCTTTTACCCTCTAGCAGAGCATGAACATTAAGGCAGTTGGGAATTCCTGATGCAATGTCATACTCTTGCCGGTCTCAAGTATTTATCAACGGTCTTCAAGTTGAATTTCAGTTTACCTACATCTCTTCTACCTCGGTTCTCAACAGAAACTAGAAGTAAGAGAAACTCAGAAGGAAGAAGTTTCCACTTTAACTGTGAAGGTTTCTGCATATCCCTCAGCAAATCCGTCTAAGATCCTTAAGAATGATAATGGGGAAAATTCAAACTTCATAGGGGAGAAATCTGTCAGAGAGCACCAACCCAAGTAAAAGAAGGTAACAGATCAGTGCCTTAGGCATCCTCAAGGATCTATTATTAATGGTGTGTTCTTTTGCCCTCCAAAAGGTAAATCAGAATATAAACTATATTATGAGAATACAGTGCATTTATACGAAGTTCAGTCACACATAGTTTCCATGTCCTGTAATATCTAGCAACTTTAAATAGAGTATCTTTTTCACATTCTAGAGAGCAATCCTCCCCTTTTTTTCTAAAACTTTTTGAGTTATTCTGGGTCTCAAATCCACTGTGTTTGTTCACGCAATTCTTACTCCTGGTCTACACAGGGCTCAGAAAGAATCCAGATGGAACCTAACAAGAAATGTTTTCCTTGACTGATATCCAAGGCCGGAGCCGATCAGCAGCAGGAATCTGGGACTTGGTGCTGTCCTCTGTGGGTCTGTCACCAAGGGACTATTGATGGCATTTGCAGAACTTTAATTCAAAGGGACAATTGTTGATAGACTATTGAAAGACAGGTTGGAGACAAGGGAGAAAAGACTCTGGAATATAGGGGGGAAGTGTTCTAAAGACTTAACCTTGAGTCATTTTTGAAAATGTTTTTAAAATTAGGGGAACACATAAAGCAGAAACAACGTGACTAGAGGAATCAATATTCGCAATTTCTAAATGAACGGGATTTTGGGATAAAGAGTGACGCGCCATCTGACTTGGGACGCAAGGCTTACCTGAGAACGGGCCATTTCTTCTTCTTTCATGTCGTCCTCTAGATTTCTTTGTCAGAAGAGACTCGTGGAGAAATCACAGCTGCATCAGGAGAAAATGCCTTTAAAGCCACCAACAGAGCGTCTGCACCTCTAAACTGCTCGGCCTGACAGCAGGACTTTGAAATGCAGAAAAGGCCCAAATTCCCAGTCCTTTGTGTCAGGAGCCTTTCAGAAACTATGAGCTCCTACTTGAAGACCAATCCCTGACTTTTCCTTCTCTGCTTTCAGGGGGCCTCCCCTCCCACCAATGCCCACAAATTCAGCTTCAGCATAGGAACCGCGTGCTGCACGGACCTGAGCCTCCCAGACTCCTGTAACAGAGACCCTTTACCTCTCCGTGAGCCAGAAACTCTACTCAAGTCTCATAAATTAATGGGGAGCCCTCGTGCTTAATCCTGGCCTCACTGTGGATCACCTGCAGTCCTTAATTAAAACAACTCTGTCTTTTCCACCCACACCAATAGGCAGGATCTGAGGAGGAGAGCACCGGCAATGATCGGTTTTGAAACTCCACACGTGATCCTATTGGGAAGCATTTGGGGGAGGTGACCAGGCAAAGGACAGCAACCAAGGCTAGAATTGTTATCCAGATTTAAATCCATGCCTTTTCCACTGACCAGTTTCCGGAGATTTATACATTCTCCGTCTTTCTGCTCAGCACAGGGAGACACCCTTACGAATGGAGCTTTCCTTTATAAATGCAAATATCTCTTACAAAAGTAAACATACTGGGTTTCAGAGCTTTTCCTTTGTCTGCTGTTTCTTTAAAATAACAGCCTAGTGGCGCCTGGGTGGCTCAGTTGGATGAGAGTCAGACTTGATTTCGGCTCAGGTCGTGATCTCAGGGTCATGAGGTCGGGCTCTGCGGAGCAAGGAGCCTGCTTAAGATTCTCTCCCTCTTCTCTCCTCCCCCCTCACCCCCAGCTCAGTCACACATTCTCTCTCAAAAAACAAAAAGAACAAAAACAAACAAACAAAAAAACCAGTATAAAATAATCCTTATGGCAAAAACACAAATTTTGGGATGGTACAAGGCTCTTCTTAAATAGGCAAATATTTATTTTCCTAAGTATCTGCCAAACAGTTTCCCAAAGTGAAGGTCGTTTTTATATTCCCATCAGCAATAGAAAAGAATTCGCATTTCTCAGTATTTTCACAGAAATGTGGTGTTACCCTTTTCCTTGATTTTAGCCCTTCTAGAAAATATTGAGTGATTCCTCCCTGTAAAATATGAAGTGGTCTTAATACAGTCATTCTGGTGACTCAAAGGGAAACCACTAAAAGCATTGTGTTGAACAAAAACCGAAATAGCTGCATTAAAATGTCAGCAAGGCTTGATATTAAACTAAGTATCCTTTTTCATTTCAGCAAGCTTCCCCTCCCCCTTTCTTCGTCTTCTTCCCCCCTCCCCCCCCAGGAATCCAGGACCACTCTGAAAACCTAGTGAATAAGGCTGGAAGCACAAACACAATTCCTGTCGAAACCCGCGAGATCCCGTATTGGCCTACAAAACCCCCCAGCCCCTTCCCCTGGGTGGGCTTGCAGTTTTGAAGGCCCTGACCTGCTGCAGCCTTGTCTGCTGAGCAAAGCAAAAAAGCTGTTGTTCCCTTTTATCCCCAACTCTGTCTTCACATTATATTTTGGGTCTGAAGCATGAATGTCAGTTTTCAATAACAGAATGAATGTTGGGAGAGGAATCCATCCTTCTTCATCTGTTCTCAAGTCTTTGGCCAGTCTAATAATTAAACTGATGTAAGGCAGATTCACAAGAGAAAAATAATAATAATTTCTTAATTAGGGGAACCTCAAAGATACGAGGCTCAAAGACAGGGAATTGACGCTTCATGCCGCTGTGACTTAAGAAGGGGAGGGATTTAGAATTTCAGAAGGGGTAAGCATAGTCAACAGGAAAAAGGAAGGAGCAAATGTTTATCAAACAACAGTTTGCCACACCAGGTAGGCAACTTTTTATAATATAAAAAGTTAAAGTCTGATATTAGCTATATTACTGATAGAGTTCCACCATCTAATTTATTCTTGGTATACAATCAACCTCACAAAAGAAGGAAATCCTTCCATTTGTAGCAACACAATAAACCTAGAGGACCTTTTTTTAAATTACAGAAGCCAAGCCAGTGCCCCTTTGCCCAGCTTAGCAGTCTTTAAATTTTAGCACGCACCTTTAGCCCCACTGATTGATAAACCAAACCTCTTTGTGTATCTAGAGATCATTGGTGCCTTGTTTCCTAGAAAGACTTGGATCGGAACCCTCTTGCACAACCTCTCTCCTGGGGCACCGATACACAATCTCCAGCACCTCAGTAATGTCTGTGGCTACGAAGAGGCAAGCATGAAGTGTTACAGATTACCGCACTCCTCTTTACTGATTACTGGCCTCGAGTTCCTTTTCAACTCTTTGGACTAGGCTGAAACTGTGGAGCTGGTTTTTGGACAAGACTCCACCTTCTTCCCAAGTGGCTGTCCTCCTGAATAAAGCTCACATTCCTTCCCAGTCAAAACTGTGTCTTGAGTGTTAGCTTTTGGAACAACTCACAGCCAATCTTCTTTTATTTTTTTTTTTTTGGTAACAAAATTGCGTTATCATTCAGTACGTCCGGTGGGAAAGAATTCTTGAGATGTTTAAGATGAAACTTAGTAAGTTTATTCAATTAGCAGGGGGACAGGACCCCTGGGCAGAAAGAGCTGCACTTTGGTTGCAAAGAGCTGGTGGTTTTATGCTTAGTGGTCAGGGGGAAGGGTCATGCAGGAAGTATTAGATCATAAATGTTTCTTCGAATTTCTACTCATATAACTACTTTAGCAAAATTTCTCTGGTGCTTATCATTCAGTTCAATATTAATTATGGGTGAGATGGACAGGCAGTCAGGAGACCCTTTAAGAATGTAGCAATCAGCTACATTTGATTCTTATCAAAACTATGCAGGCTATAGGTCAACCTTCTGGGTTAAAGGTGAACATTTTTCTGTTTCTGTGCCTCGGCATTTCACACCCAACCAATTTTCTGTCCTTAAATATTTAAAGGGTGAAGGGCTCATATTCTATAACTTTTTCAAGGTGACACGGGTTGTAGAGATGTCCCTACCCATGCATTGAAATTGGTCCCTATCTGTCCCCACGTGTAACTATTAGAGAAGCCATTATTGTAGAGTCCAGAGGGGACATTGCGGTGAACTAGCTTTGAGTAGTCGGTATGATCTGTTGGCTGGGCAAAGGAGTCAGGAACTGCTTACACATATTTCAACAATAGGACAGAAAATAGCAAAAGAGAAAACACATTAGAATATTACTATAATGAAAAATAAGAAGAGCAACGGAACAGAGAGAGACCAATGTAAAGAGAGACAAGTCACAAAACAGACTCTTAAGGATAGAAAAAAAAAATGATAGTTACCAGAGGGAAGGGGGGGGGGTGAAGGGTTAAACACATGATTAAGGACTGCATTTGTGATAACCACTGAGTAATGTATGGAATTGTTTAACCACTGTATTGCACAGCTGAAACTAACATAACATTTTATGTTAACTGGAATTAAAATAAATCTTAGGTCAAAAACAAAGAAAAAGTGGTGGCAATCCATTAAAATACTGATATATGGGCGCCTGGGTGGCTCAGCTGGTTAAATTACTGCCTTAGGTCATGATCCTGGAGTCTCGGGATCGAGTCCCTGCATCGGGCTCCCAGCTCAGCGGAGAATCTGTTTCTCCCTCTGACCTTCCCCTTCCTGTGCTCTCTTTCTCTGGTTCTCTCCCTCTCAAATAAATAAATAAAATCTTTTAAAAAAATACTCATGTATTTTCACAATAGCAATAGGCAGATATACAAAATATTAGTTGATATGACTGAAATGAAGAAGCCTTCCCAGATATCCGTAGAGGATAGCTAACGCTTTGCTAACAGGACATATGATTGTGCATCAACATTTCTTAATAATTACTTCTGGTCTGAAAATTATTGAAATTATGACTCAGGACATTATATCAGAAAAAGAATGCTTCTTGAATGCTTATAATCTGTATTTTCAACAAGAATTATACAGTAGATTTGAAATGCATAACACAGTCTATAATGATCTTAATACATTTTATTTTATTTTATTTTTAAAGATTTTATTTATTTATTTGACAGAGAGAGAGAGAGAGATCACAAGTAGGCAGAGAGGCAGGCAGAGAAAGGGGGAAGCAGGCTCACCGCCGAGCAGAGAGCCCGATGCGGGGCTCGATCCCAGGACCCTGAGACCATGACCTGAGCCGAAGGCAGAGGCTTAACCCACTGAGCCACGCAGGCGCCCCTCTTAATACATTTTAATGATAGAACATCTTTTTTTTTTTTTTTAGAGATTTTATTTATTTATTTGACAGAGAGAGAGAGACAGAGAGAGACCTAGAGACAGCAAGAGAGGGAGGGAACACAAGCAGGCGGAGTAGGACGGGAAGAAGCAGGTGTCCCGCCAAGCAAGGAGACTCATGTGGAGCTTCATCCCAGCACCCTGGGATCACGACCTGAGCTGAAGGCAGACGCTTAACGACTGGACCACCCAGGCACCCCATAGAACATATTGGCTTTTAATGTGTTAATATTGATAGGTAGTGAATGATGTATTATCCTGCCATCAATATTAACCTACTTCACCTTAATTAAAAATGTAGACAACGGGACACTTGGGTGGCTCAGTGGGTTAAGCCTCTGCCTTTGACTTGGGTCATGATCTCAGGGTCCTGAGATCGAGCCCTGCATTGAGCTCTCTGCTCAGCAGGGAACCTGCTTCTCCCCCCAACCCTGCCCCCGCCTGCCTCTCTGCCTACTTGTGATCTCTCACTCTGTCAAATAAATAAATAAAATCTTAAAGAAAATAAAAAAGAATGTAGACAACAGATAGTATCTACCACCCATTTGATAACGGTGATGTAATATAACTAGTAGTCCATTTTCTCAGCGGCCTCAGACTTTAAAAAACATGTGGTTATATTTCCAACAGTATGTTGCATTGGTTTCTCCCCCTTTGAACCCCTGGGACATCAACATGGATATATTATAGATTATATAGGGGGACTGTTGACAGTTGAGACGAACTCCTCCATGC